ATTGTTTTCCACTTTCTTTCCTCTATCTGGTCTTGTATTAATATGTATTTGTATTTCAGCAGCACTTCAGAAATGTGTTACATTTAAATAAGCAATTCAAGGGTGAGGGGACCAACTATATGAGGGTCCCCTAAAGAACAGAAACTTACCTCTACCAATCCTCCTTCCTGCCATGGCTGTGGTGGAGAAATATGGTAGCCTGAGAGGACCCCTCCTTCTCCTTTACTACTTCTATGGTACCTACTGTTCTAGAGCTCTACCAGAGTAGGGCTTAGGAACTTCATCCGTGCCCGAGAAATTTCCGCTGAGACATAAAGGTCCAGGAGGATGCAGAGATCTGAGCTGGCTCCAGAAAAGTAGTCACTTAATTTCCACATAGTCCCAATCCCAAATTGTTGGGATCTCTCAGAGTTGGTTATACTTTCTGAGTTAAAAGCAAGATTCTCTCCTTTTCATTAGAGGACCTCAATTAGCCAGAATCAAAAATGGGGTGGCAACAGTTTCCCAAAGAACCACAGTGCAAACGTAAAGGCTGTACTGTCTGAGTAATTGTGGCAAAGAATGGTAGGGGATGAGAATGAGGATATCTCCTAAGTACTTGTTCGTGTAGTGTCATAAACTGAGCGAGAACTTTCTCACTTACTGCTCATATAGTACATGCTCATATGAGGATACTAAAGCCCATGCAGAGTACCCAAATGTTATAGATGATTTTAAAGGTAGATTCTCTCAATTAATTTAATTTATAATTTTTACTAAGTAGAATGTGACATATTTTGAGGTTGAGTTTTGCAACTGTTGTATGTTAAAGAAAAATATATAGTTAAAGCAAAACAAACTAACAACAACAAAAACCAGTTTGACCTACAATTTTAATCATGCCATTAGGGGAATGTACTTTTCTTATCGTCGTGTAAATTCATGGGCTCTTTTTAAATGGAGATTCAAATTTCCTTGGGGCCCTATTTAAACCATGTTGCTAAATTATAATATAGGCAAAGGAAAACTTTTATTTCTGCTTTGTATTTCACAGTCAAAGAATACTCTTACCTCATCAGAGAATCTTTGCAAATACCTTTTACTCCACTATGCAAAATCCTGTGGAACCAGTTATTTTAAAACAAATTTTTAGCTAAAAGATCAAGTTAATGTATCTGAGTTAGAGACCTACACCATCCGCAACTCTGTAGGTTCTATAGCATCCAGCATAACGTCTTAAGTACAGTGATTCGTCAATGAATGCTTGTTAAATCAAATCAAATCTTAAAATTTCAATTAAT